TATTTTTTAAATTATTTCAATCAAGGTCACTGAATAAAACACAAATAATCACCCTAGAATTGGGCCGAGCCCAGTCTTGTCATCAGCTTTTACAACTGGGACTCCTCATTCTTGGTTATGTCTGTGGAATATTTTTCCATAAATGCTCCTGGAGATGACAGATACATGAGGTAATATCAGATCATCTGATGGGGCTGCACAAATGAATGTGGAAGTTTGATTGTTGCAAGTTGCTCAGACTCATTGAGAGTCGGGTGACATACAAGTTTAATAAATTATATATTATTATTACTTCTGACATTATAGCAAACAACTATATACATCTGCTGCATTATTATCATTAACAGACTCTCAGTTAAACATTTGGGAAAAGGGGATGAGTGGTGATGATTATAGTTGCTTTTCAATCATGCCCAATTCTGAGTAACCTGGACAGATTTCCACAATTTTCTTGACAAGGTTTTCAAAACTGGTTTTCCATTGTCTCCTACCAAGGGCTAAGAGTAAGAAATTATGCCAAGGTCACCCAGCTGGCTTTTATGCTTAAGATAAGACTAGAACTCATGGTCTCCCAGTGTCTAGCCTGAGGCCTTGATGGATCTCAAGCTAACACACGTAGAAATGCTTATTTTAACTGAGAAATAACTCAGTGTTATTTCTGCTATTTGTAGACAGCTTATTTCAGATATGTATATAACTAGCATCTTTGTTGTATCATTTCCCAACATATTTAGCTAAAGATTAGTGTTTTGATTACTAGAAAGGAATTCCCTAATCTTCCCTCTCCACTCTTAGTCTCTCTTCTCAGAAATAGAAACAAAATATTCCAAAATTAGTAGAAGTATTTTACAGAATACAGGAAGTCCTCAACTTCCAACAATTTGTTTAGTGACCAGTCAAAGTTACAGTGGCACTGAAAAATGTGACTTATGACCGTATCTCTATGGTCATGTGATTTACATTTGCATGCTTGACAACTGGTTCATGTTTATAACGGTTGCAGTGTCCCAGGGTTGTGTGATCACCTTTTGCAACCTTCTGACAAACAAAGTCAACAAGGAAACCAGATTCTCTTAACAGCCAGGTTACTAACCTATCAGCTCCAGCGATTCACTTACAAGAGTGGCAAGAAAAATCATAAAATAGAGCAAAACTCACTGAACAAATGTCTCACTTAATCATAAAAATTTTGGGATGATCATCATCAATTGCTAATGTGTACCAAACAAGTAATTCTTAATTAAAATTACCATATCAGGGATGCAGAAAGCTAATCATTTACTAAATAGCTGCAAATTATTAACTCTTTGCTGTCAATTAATAGCCTTATGGATTTTGCAACCCATATTCATATTATTGGTAAATACATGTACATAAGGCAATATGAAGATTGCGGTTGTACTGATTTACAACTTGGGTGTTAAAACCAAGTGTTTGCTAGGATTCAGAGAGCTTAGTTTAAGAAGAATTATAAAGGAATGACTATATACAAAGAAAGATATTACTCTTTACTTTTTATCACTTTTTATTACATTTCATAATGAAATGTGAATGGATATATTTCCAGGATAAGAAAAGCTATGTATTTCCTTTTCTAAATGTCCTTTTCTGTACATAAATATCTCCAGCACATCTATTGATACCTTCCCAATATTATTACTATTTCTAGAATACCAGCCAGTAAGGAGAACACACTTCTTAAAATGAAGTCCAAAAGTGATATAAAATTAAGAGTAAACAAAATCAGTGAAGATAGTTGGAGAGCCTTCAAGATATCCAAAATTTCATAATTTATCATTTATTCAAAATTACATGCTGCCATATTTGTATTAATTCTCAAGACACTGCAAACTTTTTGTGCCTGGTTAATACAGGTCTTTTCTGGCACTTCAAGCACAAGCTAGGTAATCAAATAGTGGTTTTTTATTTTTTTATTCTGAATTCTTATAAATGGAAAATAAATGATAGTTCTTACTGAGCCTTTGTGTTTGTTTCTGTAATAGTAACTTACAGCATCACTCAGGCATTGCCATGATGGTATGTAACCTGTCTGCATTAGCAATTTATCACCACAGCAGTGTCTGGGTGATGTTGTAAATTGCTGGTTTCCTCTCTGTAATCATTTGGACCATTTGTGAAGTTGCTTTACATTTCTTGGAAAAATCCTTATACATCATAATTCCAGTAGAGGTAAAATAGAGATACTGGTCTATATATCTTGCATGTAATAAAGCATCATTTATCTCAAAATTTGCTTTTCATTCTGAATTTGTATAGGAACATAAAATGAGCAAGCGAAACTATTTTCATTTTGAAGCATGGCAAGCCAGTTTATTTTTAGAACACTCTTATTGAGGAAAGAATTTGAGGCTGCCCTTATCTCTGCTAATAATAGTGACTTGCTCAATTTATACAGCCACCGAATTACCACTCCACCCTCTCCTTTAGTCAGGCAACCTCTTAATTGCAGATTTTCTAGTTCATAGTTCACTTGGTTTTAAAATGTAATGATTTTTTAAAGCTGGGGTGCTAAACTTTGCAGCCTATTTATTTACTTCTTCCTTTTAGAATATCATAAGGATTCTTTGAATTCCAGGATAAATATTATGTTAGTTTTTTTTTTAATATATAAATCTGATACTAGAAGGAAATGCATGCTTGGAAATCTATACATATAATTGAATGTGTATGTTTCTCCAAGTGTGTGCCTTTTTTGTTGTTACTTTATGGAATACAACCATGGGTGATTCTACAGAAATCTCCCTCTTGGCTTAGATCTTTTAAAAACAATTATTATTAATTGCTAAATTTTGCCTTAATTTCCCCCCTAAAACAGTTGTTTCAAAAATACTGGATTGGAAGCTAATAAACTGCACATTAGATGGATAGTTCTAGTGGGAATAGGGAAATATTATTATTAGTCTGAAAATATAAGGAATAGATAAATAATTTCTAAAAGGAAAATGAGCAAGCAGTAATTTTCCTGAAGAAAAAAGGAAATATTCCATGATAAATTTTAAATCAATTGCTTAACAAGACTATAGTGATGCAGTAATATATTATATCGCCTGAAATGGATAAGACTCTCGGCTACATTATCTAGAATTTCAGTCATAATATAATTTGTAATTATTTTTTATATTTATATTCTATTGTTCCAGGAACTCAAGGCAGAGTGAATAGCAAAACTAGGTGAGAAATACTGGGCTAAGAGTGACTATTCCAAATCACCCAGGGAGTTTCGATGATGAGGTGAACTTGAACCTTGGTTTCTTTGGCCTGAAAGACTAATAAGATATGACTGTCTGATCCTTCAGGATAGACTTTGAAATGAACATATGAAGTCCTTGACTTATGACCATAATTGAGCTCACAAATGTCTGTTGTTAAGTGAGTTATGCACCTATTTGCAACCTTTCCTATCACACAGTTGTTACGTGAATCACCACAGTTGTTAAATTACCGTATTTTTCAGAGTATAAGACACACTCCCCCCCCCCCAAAAGGGGGAAAATCTGAGTGCATCTTATACACTGAATACAGCATTTTTGGCCTACCAAAACACTGCCCCTTCGCAAAAATGAACGTGTAGAGGGTTTGGGAAGCCTGCAAAGTACTCCTGGGGGCTGGGGAAGACAAAAATGAGCAAAAAATGGGCCGTGTTTGCTCGTTTATGTTCCCCACAGCCCCCAGGAACATACTACAAGCCTCCCAAAGCCTCTGCATGCCCCCCTTTTTTGCAAAAAACGGGCCGTTTGTTTCTTGTTTTTGCCCCCAGGAGCACTTTGCAGGCTTCGTTTCACAAAAAACGAGTCATGCACAGGGTTTGGGAGGCCTGTAGAGTACAAAAACTTTTTAAAAAAACTTACCTCTTCAAAATGATGGTGCGTCGTATATTTCAGTGCGTCTTATAGTCCGAAAAATACAGTAGTAACAAAGTTGTCAAGTGAATCTGTCTTCCCATTGAATTTGCTTGTCAGAAGGTCATAAAATGTGATCATATGAACATGGGATATTGCAACTGTCATAAATATGAACCAGTTACCAAGCATCTGAATTTTTATCACATGACCATGGGAAAACAATAGTCGTCAGTGTGACAAACAGTCATAAGTCACTTTTTTCAGTGCTGTTGTAACTTTGAAAAGTCCCTAAATTAACTGTTGTTAATCGAGGATTATCTGTATTGATACTTATTATTGTGAAGTAGTTTGGATTTAGTTCAGCTTGATTCATTTTCTGTATCTTCTATTTCCCCTCCAAAAAATATTGCTCTAAAAACTAAATATTTAAAATTTTTATTTAGAAAAGTTGATTCTTTGCTAAAGGTCAAATAAACATCTACAGAACAATCACATATGATTGCAGTCTCATCTATATACTTTTACTTGGAAGTGAGTTCCTTGCAATTATTTAGAATTACTTCTAAATAAACATACTGTAAGAATTTTGATTTTTCTTTCTTAATTGTGTATGTTAAATGCAAGCGAAACATGCCATCCTTTTGTTTCAAAACTTATAAAATAGAAAGTTTTTCAACCAATAGCAAATGGATGAGAGAAAGCTTTTAATAGAACTCAATTAAATAATGAAATGCTATAAATAATTCTATGCAGCAAGTGGCCTGTTGAAAGACAGGTGGACAGAAATGTACAAAAATCTTGATGATTTTGAACTGGAGCTCCTGTCAGGTTGAGCTAGCACAACCAATTTTGATCCGGGATGGGGGGTATAATATAAAATATTATTGAAGAAGGTCGGCAAAGCAAGGTTGCCCTAATTAATGCAAATAATTAGTTGAAAATAGCATTCACAAAAGAAGAAATGATGAAAGCTTTCTCTTCTCATTAGTGATTTTGAGAGTGGCGATAACCAGATTGCTGCAGGATACTGTCCTTCCCTACTTTTGTTTTATTAGAGTCAAAGCAGTAAGTATTAAAGTAGCTTTAGAAGTCATCATGTGGCAAATCTTTTGGGGCATTCAGCCTTAGCTCTTAACAATGACATGTCACCAGCGACATGTCCTTTATCTCATTTATACAGAGAGGCAAACTGGTACCTACCGGTTCTTTCCTTCAGTGCACAGTTGTCATTGCTAGTAAGTGAACTGGAAAAAAAATGGCTCCTTTTGGTGGCACATATATAAAAAAATCATGATACAATACTCTTTAAAACTTATGCTGCCCTCGATGTAAGAAAAAGCATTTCAACTCAGACTTAATTTATATTTTTGTTACTACTTTTATCAATGTTGTAAAAGTAATTAGACAAATTTATCCACAACCCAATATCTTAACTATTGGTTTTGGAATAATGTAACTTCCAGAAAGATAAATACACAGATTTGGAATAAACTGTATTTTCATATTTCTGTAATAATGCAATTCCATATATACCAACTCAACAATACAATAAGTTTCATTAACTCCTATTATTTTGGTAGGATTTCATAGCCTTGCAGAGATTGCAGTCTTGCAGTCTAAAAAATGTACATGAAGCACAGTCTTGAAAAACCCAGGGAAACTTTTTTCTGAGTAGAAATTGTAGTGTTAATACAACACTGAGCAACATGATGGCCTAGTGGCAAAGACTCTGGCCTCCTGTTTAGAAGGTCGAGAGTTCAATCCTAGGTAGCAGCAGTTTTTTCTCTCCCAGGGCATAAAGAAAAAGAAATATTCTTGTGGATTCTGTGTGGCATCAGGAAAGGCATGCAGCCAGTTCAGCCCCACCCAGTCGCCCTGGCTTTACTCTGAATTCAGGGATTAAAGGGTCATAAAAAGGGAGGTTTGTTTTAGTGCATAAATGACACATCTCACAAATCAGTAACCTCTTTTATGTAAGCAGAAATTAACATTCAACTTTTTCTTTCTTTTATTTAGTTGGAGAACACCAGCTTACTGGACATAAAGTAGCAGTGAAAATTTTAAACAGGCAAAAAATTCGTAGTTTGGATGTTGTTGGAAAGATCAAACGAGAAATCCAAAATTTAAAACTTTTCAGGCATCCCCATATTATCAAACTGTAAGTGTACTTACTCTTTTTCTCTTTGTAGCAAAATACAAAAAAAGTGTGAACTATGTATTTCTGTATTGCAAATATTTTGCTGTATTTCTAATATGTTTAAGAATAATATAAATTAAGTGTTGGAATCACAAAGTAAGTTTTATTGCTCTTATATTGAATTTACTCCCATGTCCATAGAATTCTTGTATGGACATTCTTCCTTTTGAAACTCAATCAGCAAAATATATATTGAGATTCAGTTAGGTTATTACTGCCATATTAATTGCTGTTATTAATTAAATTTACATGCCACCCATATCACGGTTGATGACGATCATTATAAAATATTCTTCAAAATGTTTCAAACTAAGATTATATTTCTTGCTCTGTAACAAACAGTACAGTATCTTATACTTTTCTGGGATAACTGGTACAAGATTGGACAGTTGCTTGATAAAAGCAAAGAAGCACATATTGTAGGTGTTCATGTTAGATTCATGAAGTGAGAAATAGATCTTTTAGTCTAGATAGACTATTTCAATAGTATATTTATGTATTAAAATTTCAAGAGCAAAATTGAAATGTCTTTCAATTTCATTGAATAATGCATAAAAAGAAAGTACTCGGTTTATTCAAGCACAGTAGCTGTGCAATTCTGTGAGCAATGCCTAAAGAAAAAAAAGCAAGTCTTTTTTCCTTGTATAGCATGGTTGAGATCTTTCTTGGTTGTCCATTTTGGACCTTCATTAAAATTGCTGCATTATTGTAAATACATGTATAGACAGGTGGTATTCAGCAGGTTCTGATCAGTTCTGGAGAACTGGTAGCGGAAATTTTGAGTAGTTTGGAGAACCGGTAAGTACCACCTCTGACTGGCCCCACCCCCATCTATTCTTTGCCTCCGAAGTCCCAGCTGATCGGGAGGAAATGGGGATTTTGCAGTAGCCTTCCCCTGCCAGGCCCACAAAGCCACGCCCAGAGAACCGGTAGTAAAAAAAATGGAATCCCACCACTGGTATAGACATATCGTATGCTCTTAATAATAGTGAATATATATAATAGCTTTATATAGGTAGTCCTTAATTTATAACAATTCATTTAGTGTCCATTCAAAGTTACAATGGAACTAAATAAAGTGAGTTATGATTGTTTTTTGCACTTACAACTGTTGCAGTATCTCCACAGTCATCAAAATTCAGATGCTTGGCAACTGACTCATATTTATGACAGTTGCAATGTCCCAGGGTCATAAAGATCACCTGTCGTAATCTTCTGACAAGCAGCGTCAATGGAGAAGCCAGAGTCGCTGAACAATCATGTTATTAATTTAACAAATGCAGTAATTCACTTAACAACGGTGACAAGAAAGATAATAAAATGGGGCAAAATTCACTTAATATTTTGCTTAGTAACAAAAAAATTGGGTTCAACTGTGGTCGTAAGTTGAGAACTATCTGTATTATGGATCCAGACAGATTGTAAATAGGAATAATTATTATTGCACCATGTTTTGGGACTAAATGAGAAAGCTAATGAAAACTCCACCAGTCCTGCCTTGTGAGGTGAAGGAACCGTTCCTATTATGTAACCATTAGACGTATACTAACATATTTTGACTTTTGAGTCTGAAGTGTCTTAATTTTCTCTGGGTAGCAATGTTCAGAATATTAGTTCTGAGAAGATTTATTGAACAAAGATCTTAGAGGAGTGAAGAAGTTTAATGTAGGGGGTGGAGTAGGAGGAATGAAGATCTATCAAACATTTTAATTGAGCAGAGTCCCAAAGGAATTTATATTTGCTCTGCAAAAAAAAAAAGGGAACAATTTATCTTTTAGAATTGAAAAGCAATGATATAGAAAGTAAATTCCAGTGATTTTGTTAAGGACTGCTTTATGATTCGACAAGGGTTCTTACGAACTTCATCTAGCAAAAACATTTAAGATGCTATTATTTTCTTGTATGTTTTCAATAGGTATCAGGTGATCAGCACCCCTACTGATTTTTTCATGGTGATGGAATATGTGTCTGGTGGAGAATTGTTTGATTATATCTGTAAACATGGACATGTAAGTGTCTTATCCAGTTGGAATAAAATGCATGTGGTAAAAGGACAAAGAGACAATAGTGGAAAATAGAGTTGCTTTGCTAAATTGGATTCTTTTAAGTCAGTAAGATCAAGAATAGGCCATGCCTATTAGACATATGTAAAATGGCTTGTTATTGAATCAAATCACTGATGTATATTTCTTTCTTTATTATAGCTATTGGCTACAATACTCTTCCCCATCTGGTGCCCACCAGATGCATTGCATTTAACAATTGGACCATTTTCACTTGGATAATGATGTTAAAATCCAACACATCAAATAAACTTTAAATTGGGAGAGGTTGCTATGCAGTCTTACAATTCAGCAAGTCTAATCATCATCATGGCTCAAAGCGAATATATCTTAAATAATTGGAAATTAATATAAGCGCTAAGCAGAAGCAATCTCCATCACCTTATTTTGTTTTAAATCTTCTACAGCCCAATGGTTGACTTTAGATCAGAGTTTCTCAGCCTTGGTCATTTTTAGAGGCCTGGACTTCAACTCCCAGAATTCCCCAGCCAGCCAGACCTTTTAAAGTGGCCAAGGTTTACATCATACCAAATATACACAGTAACAGTGATTTGGAGGTAGTAATTCATCTGATTTTGTAGAAACATGCAAACATAGATACAGCTGTCATTTCACACACAATCTTAAAATTTATTTGGTGTTGTGGAAAGATTTATAGGCATGTTTAGTTAGTGATATGCTTACTAGCCAATAATATGAATAAGAATTTAGGCTAAGAACAGCACAAATGCTTCAGCAAAAACATGTTTTATAGACAAATAATACAATTCAAAGTACTTTATTCTTTGGATTATTTTTCTTTTCAAAATAGTTATTGATGAACATTATAAGAGAATCTAAGTAATTTGTAAAGTAAAAGCAGATTTAATTTTTACTCTTTCTCTCTTTTTCTTTTTTAATTTTTTTAAAAATTTTATTTACAAACATGTAAAATGCACACACACAAAACTTAGACATACACCACATTTACACAATACAATACGAACAGGAGCTTCCTGTTCTTTCTAATAGCAATTGCTAATTGATATCGCTCACCTTATATTGTTTCCCCTTCTATTATATTTCATTTGCGTTTCACCATTCTTAACCCTCTTATCTTACTCATCTGTCTGCTATATTGGCTGATTACCTCTAGTAAATTTAAACCATGGATACATATATGTGTGTTAATTCTCCTTAACTACTATTTTGGGGCTTTGTTGTCTTCCTTCATTGATCCTTATTTCTTTCCTCCATCCACCTATACCATTTATCCCATATCTGGTAGTATTCTGTTTCTTCTTTCCCTGGATTTCTTTTGTTAATTTGTCCATTTCAGCACAGTCCATAACCTTTCTTATTATTTCATCTTCACTTGGAATTAATTTGTTTTTCCATTTCTGGGTAAAGGCAATCCTCGCCGTCGTAATTATATGTAATATTAAATACTGAATTTCTTTTTTATATTTCACAGTCATTATTCCTAATAAAAAAAACTTCAGGTTTTCATTCTATTTTAACACCTGTTATTACCTCTAGCTACTTTTTGAACTTTTTTGATCCTTTTCCAAGAATTTTTAGCCTCCTCACAGGTCCACCATAGGTGGTAGTATGTTCCATGTATTGATTCACATTTCCAGCATTTTGGGGAGGTATTTGTTGAGACCAACCTTGTTGGTTTCAGGTGCCATCTGTAAACCATTTTTCTTTAATCTTTGGAAAATATTAGGAGAGCAAAATGCTTCCTCATGCATATTATATAAATCTAATTTAGGAGTAACATTTTCTACCATTATTTTGCATTTTTGTAGTTTAGTCTACTGTTTATAACTTTAGTCAGTGATGAATGTGTTACATAATAGTTAATTATAAAATGTAAAGTATGCAGTTATTTTGATTATTCTATCATTATAATCAGCTGATAAGGCTCATTAATTAATGAAGTAATTCCACTTTAGTTTTGAACTCAACTACACCATTCTCTATAAACAGACAAAGCCAAATTAGGTTGTCTTGTTGTAATTGATGACATCTTGTAGCTTGAAGTTTCAATAGTATACTTAAAAAATGTCTCTTGTGTGAAAATTAACTTCTCTCCGCAGATACATCATTTAGAAGGATTTGACTTAAAATGACCTTTACTGACACCCCCCCCCCACCGGGAATTGCTTCTAGGTTTTATGCATAATATTTTTTAAAAATGTGAACTCACACACCTTTTCTACCATCACAGTACTCTATCTCTTCATCCTACTCTTCATGTACTAGTTCTACTTCAGAACACTGGAGTATGTAATTTTTTTATTATTATTTCCACATATAAAATGTATGCAGAGTTCATTTTGAAAATTTACATTAGTTATTTTTATAAACATAAAATGTTCCAGGAACCAAGCTGTAGGAACACCAGACTTGTTCTGATGTGTGCGTGAGAAATGGATAGATCTGAATCACTCGTGTGGTTTCTCCCATTTTTAAAGGGGTAGATTTCATGTCATTTTAGTTTTTTTAAAATTGTATCAGACTTAGAGCTTACACTTCCGTTTTTTTCCTGTATTTTAAAATCAACAATTGCATCAAAGCTGAAATGCAAGGATTTCTTATGCTGTCTAAGCTCAGGAAACTGTATTTTGGTTTAATAGAAGCTTCCTAAATCAAGCCAGGATAAAACCATAGTTAGAATAAAACTCAATACCTTGGTATTAGATCTTATAAAGAATTAGAGTTGGTTCTGGAGGAAAAGTTTTCAATATTCTTCGTGCACTCAAAAGAATGGGATTAAGCATAAGGCATCAGGAAATTTGTTGTCAAAATCAAGGTCTGTTTTCAGAAATAAGAATCTGCCATTTTCCTAGACTATCCTTGTATACAATTATTTTTGAATAACATTTCAGAATATGTTGGTTGCCGCTGAAAGCAGGACAGCTGTTTTAGGAAATCCTTCACTTGTTATTACTGCTGCTTGTATATGTGCTTGGGGAAATGACTGGCATGAAAGCACATCATAGTAGCTGCTGATCCTTCTCCTTGCTAGCATCACTATTTGTTCTCATCCTGCTGTGTGAAAGGATGAAGCAGCCCATAGATAGAAGCAACAGTATCAGCAAGGTAAATGCCTCTTTATGCCAATCAGGGACTCCAGTACTGATGTAAAAACACTTCCCTGCATTTTTGCCAACTGTGACTTATGTTAGGGGTCGGATAAGGAATAGGCACAAAAATGTTCAAGATCATTTATGAATGTCTATAGATCTTTGGAAAGTTCTTGGAGAGGATTATGCAGTAATACATTGATTCTTTGATCATCACAGTTTTAAAACCTCGGTCTAGTTTGCCTCCAGATATGTTTTATTATAGCTTTCATCCCAGCTCACCTGAGCTAGTGGGCATGTGGTTTGAGAATGACTGAAATTGTCAGTTCATCAATCAGTTTTATTACAGTCACAGACCAGTATCAAAAATTCATTATGTTGTTTTAGATTATAATAAAATAAAAGATTTTCAAGCTACATAAAATTACATAAAAACAGTATAAAATATAGTTTCACGCAAAAATAAAAGGGAAAGGCCCCTGGTGACTATCTTCAATGTGACAACACCACTTGCTACTTCTGGGGCATTGATCCCATCTCATCTTTTTCACTGTAAACACACTGCATTACTTGGGGAAGAAATCTGCTTCTTTGTTTTATTGTGTTGTTTGCAAATTGTGTAATCAAATCCTGCCCTTGCAGAAGTGTTACCTTATTTCTCCTGAGTATCCCCATCAGCAAATTTCTTGCTTGATCATAACTCATTCCCACTAGCAGTTGGAGAATTTCTCACTGTTTCTTCAGTTTCTAGGATTCATAGAAAATACAGTATATATACGGTTAAAAAAGGCCAGAGTTTGTGACAAAAAAATCTAAATTTAATCCAAAGTTAGACTGGTCTCTAAATGAAGTGATCTAGGCCATATAGGGAAAACTCAGAGAGAACCAGGTGAGGAGATGCTTAATTTTTGGACAGCCTTAATTTTCAGAAACTGTGTAAAAATATCACCTCTTGTTTTTCAATTTAGTGCTATTAACCATACTGTAATTCTAAATTTGTCTTGTGGTTCATCCAAGAAAGGATTGCTGCATTGTTGAGTGGTATACAGAAAATCCTAGAGTAGGGATATCAAACTGGCGGCCCATGGGGCAGATGTGTTACATGCTGGTTACGCCCACCCCAGCTCCGCAAATGAGGAAAATGTCGTAAAACATCACTTGATGACAATGTGACGCGGCGAGTTTGACATCCGTGTCCTAGAGCATTTATTAGCTTTTGTTGTTGCTGTTGTTGTTGTTGCAGGTAGAAGAAGCTGAAGCCAGGCGCCTCTTTCAGCAAATTCTGTCAGCTATGGATTACTGCCATAGGCATATGGTAGTTCACAGAGATCTGAAACCAGAGAATGTGCTGCTGGATGCACACATGAATGCCAAGATAGCTGATTTTGGTATGTGACCCTAATAGCATTCCAAAAATGTAATTGGCTACGAGCCATTCCCTGGACTGTGTCAATGTCTTTCAGGGAACTCAGTGTTATTTTCCATCAACATTAGAAGCTTCTGTGTTACTGTGAAGAGCTGTTTTAACTGAAAACATTGGCTTAATCTCAGGGTTCCAAATAGCATCCAAAAGTAAATCAGAGTCTGAGGCAAAGGATTCCTCAAAGTTTCAATTTATTAAGAGAGCCATGTTGGCACATCTGGGAAAACCCTAATCTGAAAGCTTCCCAGTTTTCCCACCCAATTGAAAGTTCAAGATCTTGCCCCACACCCATAAGTCCATCACATGGTCCAATCTTCCACTGCCATGCTGGCAGCTTCCATCCATCCAGTTCCAGTCAGGTGTAGAGGTGCAGAGACAAAAGTTCACCTTGGCTTTCTAGACATTTTTTTGTTATGACTATATATCACACAATTCATAATACCCCCTCCCATTTTTCCACAATAGAAAATGCATAGTAGAATAATAGAAAGTGTGGCAGGCCTGAGACCCAAAAGAAAAGATGGCTTTCAGTCTTCTCCAAAGGTAGTAGTTGTAGTTGTAGTTGAGTTTATTTATAGGCCGCCCTTTTCCCTGAGGGGACTCAGGGCGGCTAACAACTTGTATGGGAGGGGAAGACATACAATAACATAAAAATACAATGTATAATTAAAACCAAGCAACATTCATACAACATTCGGGTGGGGGTGGACTATGGTCTTACCCCCAGGCCTGGCGGGATAGCCAGATCTTGAGGGCTGTGCGGAAGGTCTGAAGGGTGGTGAGGGTACGAATCTCCACGGGGAGATCGTTCCAGAGGGTCGGAGCTTGGTTCTGAAAAGGCTCTCCTCCTACCTCTCGGACAGGTCGCAGTCGGTGTTGGTCGGGGGA